TTAATTTGATTACCACTGTAAAGACTTTGTCTCCAAAAAGGTCACATTCTGAGGTACTGGAGTTTGGCCTTCGACATATGAATTTCAACCCACAACAACCATTTTGAGGTGTTTCTTCTTTTCATTCATTCCTAGGCTTTTAAATGCCTGGAATATTCTTGCACTCCTTTTTATCTATCAAGGGTCTGTTCAGACCTCACCTCTTCAAAGGTTCCTTCTTGACAACCCTATCCAAAACTGAGTTGTCCTTACAGCTATTACTTTCTCCCTTTACCTGGCTATATTTTATGTATAGCACTTACCACTTCCTGATTTGTATTACTTATGTATTTCTCTCTTTACTGTCAACCGCCTACATTATTTTAAAACAGGATCTTGAAGTATCTCTGTATCTGTATCTGTGCCTTCATACACAGCAGGTACACACCATAAATATTTGTCGAATGACTTTCTCTTTTTATTACCAGATATATATAAAGACAGTTACCTAAAACATAGATATACTGTTTAAGAAGTAATTGTCAAGCAAACATCCATTTAATTACCACCAACGTCAGAAAGTAGGATATCCCAGAGGCCTCCTTCCCAAGCACCTTTCCATGATGACAACCCTCTCCCCTTCACACTCCTCAGGTAACCAATATCCTCAATTTTGTGATAAAAATTACCTCAGTTTTCTTTATAGTTTTACTGCTTATGCATGAAGAATGATAGGTTTTTCAGCCTATTTAAAGATAAATGTTAGGGAGAATAAAACTATGAAACATTTTGGGGAGGGGCACAGCACAATGATAGTATCTATTAAAAATTTAAATGTCCTGAGACTGTGTTCTGGTACCTTTTGTTAGGTTGTCACCTAAGAATTAACTGATTGAGAGTGGCTGGAGCTGTATTTTGATGATTGCCCAGTCCCCCTCCTGACCTTTGCCCTCTGTGATGCCCTGTCTCCTCACCCACCCCCACACTCTAAGCTCCCAGGAGAGCCACTCTTACTGAGTTGGTGTCTGAAGTGACACATGTGGGAGGAAGTTGGTGCAAACAGGTGCTTTGTCTGTTTCCTGCCTGTTGGGAGCTGTATCCTCAGTCTGCCTCTAACATCTTCCCCACACACAAAGAATACAGTGTGCATACTAGCTGGAGCTAATCTTCCCTGAAAAGACTAATTTTCCTCTGAAGAGTAAACAGATCCCTGTTCTTTAAACAGCTCATTTGGGATTCTCAGCTCCGCATCTGGCACACTTCTTGAAGCAAATTTCTTGCTGGTTTCCTTCTCTGGGTTAAAGGCTTTTAAATAGTTGCCATTAGTGTCAACAGTTGCTCTGCTGCTGGTGGGTGACATGTAGCCATCCTTGCTTCTAGAGCCCTTTACAGTGAACAGCTGCTCACCAAAAGTAGTTTTAATTGCTGAATGTGCTTTTGTACTTTTAGGGGTGGGGGCTTTATTACTTGTTTTCTTTTCTTTTTCTTTTTTTTTTTAAGAGTCTACTTATTTATTTGTCAGAGAGAGCGTGCACAAGCAGGGGGAGTGGCAGACAGGGGGAAGCAGGCTCCCGGCTGAGCAGGACTCGATCCCAGGACTCCGGGATCATTACCTGAGCCGAGGGCGGACACTTAACTGACTGAGTCACCCAGGCGTCCCACTTGTTTTCTTCATAAAGTCCGCCTTATTTACAGGTTTTTGTAGAAAAAGATGTGACAGTTTTTAGTCAGCCTATCCCTGAAAGAAGTTAGGAAAACAAGATTATTTCCCAACCAAATAACAGTAATTTCAATCTCCAAAGGACATTCATACATGGTACCTATTCTGTTAGGAAGTAGTACTAATTAGTCTTTATTTGACAAAGAAGGATACTGAGGATCAGAGGTTTAGTGACATTGCCCGAGGCCTACACTGGTTACAGATTAACCACTGGTTTGAAGATAGGTTTTTGTACATTTTGGAAGGATGGGTAAAAAGTCAAAAATAAAAACCTCCTCACATGTATTTCCATCTTGTTGACTTAATTTTTAGTTGATATTTGCTGGGTATTATTGTCTTGGATGCCTCTTAACTTCAGTCACTGAGTAAAATGAATCCAAAGGTTGGCATCCACTTTTAGCAATTTCTGTTTGTTATGTCAGGGTGTACTAAAAGGATTGAAGATGATTTGTTGAGAATATCACTTCAGCTAGAGCAGAAAAGGGGCTTTTGCTTCTAGGAGCTCTCCCCTATGAAGATAGCATTTCCAGCTTTTTCCAGATTAGTACTATTGCAATTAGTAGGTTAAACACATTAGGGTGGTGATTGCTTATTCTTTCAGCATATGGGTGTTTTTATTAGTGGATTCATGTCTTGATTATTTGAACCTGTTCTTAATTATTTACCAAAGAGAGCCATGCCTGAATCTGGAGTCTTCAGTTTGGTTGTATTATTTACATCTGTATCTAGTTCTGATTATCTTTTTCAAAAGGGGAGAGCCTAAAGTTCTAGCATATTCTCTAAATTTGGAGGGCTGCAAGGCCCAAAATTCAGATAAATCACTGTAGGAGTAGATCTTCTTAATGCTCCTAGATTTGACTTAATACAATGGCAGTCAACCTTTTTTTTTGACATTGAATCTAGATTCTCTCCTCCCCTATAGACAGCTTAGTGTATCATGTTGGAAGTAGAGCTAAATGAGCTGACCCTGCCCTGATGTGAGGTTGGGGCCTTTAGATTTTATACCTGGCAAATGGGTTGCAGGTGGCAAGAAGATTGGAGTTTATTGGCAGAGAAAAAAAATTTGGCAGCAAACTATGCACTCTTTTGTTACCTGTGGTAACCCATGGTTCTGGCCCCTAAATAGTGTTGCCTTGAAAAATGAAATATCTGTATTCAGTGAGTAAACATAATCAGCAGAAAAGCAGATCATGTTTGACTCTGATAGCATCTTCTCCATTGCTCTTCATTGGAGTCCAGGACAATAATCCAACTCTCATCATAATTTCCAGAACCAAAAAAGACTTCTAGCCTAGCTGGACCAGTGATTTATAAAATGTTTGCTTTTCAGAGATTTTGCAAATTTGATTGTTTTTAAGAATTTGTATGATTTTGAAGAACCATTACCAAAACAGATACCATGTAGTCTCTTGAAGTAGATGATGCCACATTTTACATATGAAAGGTATTTGGTTCCTCAGTTTGTGCTGCCAGTGTAACTTGCCTTTGTGGAGACCTTAGCATACAGCCTTCCTTGTCCATCTCTTCTGTGCTGTTGTAAGGTGAGCTGTGTAAAAACTGGTGGCATTTGTAGCTACTTCCCTGGGTGAATAAAAAATTTGTTTTCAGTACTTTTAAATCAAAATGAAATCCACAGATACATTATACTGAGTAAAGCTGCCACTGTCATCCTTATTGCCTAATTTTAAATTGCTTTTAAAAAGCCTCATGTTCTTACTGAGTTTAAAAATTGTATACATTTAAATTTACAAAATATTTAATATTAATGAAAGATTACCTTTATCTGTATCTGTTCATTGAGGCTTCTCATAAGATTTCATATGGAAGAGAGTTCTGCAAAACAAAAACAAAAAACCCACATAATTTGGAAAACTACTGGTTTAGTTTTGTTTTTTTGTTTTTTTGTGTTTTTTTTTTTTTTTGGTGGGGGAAGAGGGAGAGAGAAACTTAAGCACGGGGCCTGACGTGGGTCTCGATCTCACGACCCTGAGATCATGACCTGAGCCGAAATCAAGAGTCAGACACGTAACTGACTGAGCCACCCAGGTGCCCCAACACGTATACCATTTTGTTCTAGAGAAGCTGTTGTGTTTTTTGTACTAAGGAAAGATCTCTGGTAATCACAGATTTGGGTAAATTCCTATGATACTGTGACTTAATCCAGAATCATAAAAATTTTTTAAAGTGGGTATATTTTTTAGATTATCTTGGGGTTGGATAGACCCATTCATGGTTATAATAACACTATTATAAAAGACAAACCACAAGTTCTCAATGGCTTTACATAATAGAAATTTATTTCTCATTCCTATAAAATCCGAACAGTGTTCCTGTTAACATAAGGAAAAAAATATAGCATCATGTTTTAATGGGTAGAATTGGTCTGGAAAACAGAAGACCTCAGTTCTAGCCCATGCTCTGTCACTTTCTGACCTTAAATAAATCCTCACTCTGGGTCTCAATTTCTGAGTCCGTAAAACAAGGGGATTGAACTAGATGGTTCTTTCATTGTCTAAATGTCTACATATATGTATGTGATTTCTTTTAAAAACAGGATTCTTAAGGGGACATTCTGACATTATGTGGTATGTTATGAGTCTGGTAGCTTTGTAATGCTGTGTTCTTTGCATACAGAACCTATCCATCCTTCTCTAGGACCAGGGGCAGCTTCCCCTCTCACCAAAATTCAGTGCCTCCATATAATGAGAACCAGAGGGAGGTTGAGATGTTTGGTGCCGCAATGAAATTTATTTTCCATTTCAGTCATGACACATAAGGTACTTTCCCTGCACACGACTGCTGTTGTGGGCAGTGAGGAGGTGTTTGCTTGCTTTTCCTGTTTTAAAATTATGCAGCATAGTACTAAGGTTTTATGAGGTTGACATTCCCAACCCTCTACAAATAAGTCAGATTTTCCCCATTGCCCTAATATTATAAGTTGCATTCAGTGCTGCATGTTTGTCATTTGCAGAACTGGGAGAATTCCCCCTACACACATCTCTCGTCATCAGTTGCTAGGTTACAGCTTTTTACAGTGTCCCAGTCTGGGATGTTGCTATGGATACCAGTTATTCCTCCTCTTAGGACACTGTTCTGGTCAAGCTCAGAGTGCAGGCAAGATGTAACTGTGATGTCAGAGATGTTTTAGCATATAGCTTTTCCTCTACGTTGATGATAAGGTCTAAGTAATAGATATCAATTCCATGTCTTCTAATATTGTATAAATTAAAGAAATGAGATGTTAACTGAATCCTGAACATCCTCCATCACTTAGGACCTTTATTCCATTATTATTTTACAGACGTAAAATTAACATTATGAACTATGAATGAGAAACCTGCCATACTGTGTCCAGCTCATGTTCCACACCAGCATGCTGCCTCTTCAGCCATGGGTTAGCCATGGAATGTAATCATTATCTTTTTACATTGCCTTCAAAGTTAGGGTCATTTGGGGATGATATTTGTCAAACTCAGTTTGTCTAAATGATAAAGCCTGTGATCTAAATTTTATTGCCATTTAATATCACACATGGTTATGTTTGTTTTTCTTCTATTTTAGACAACATGAAGGCAAGGGACTATCTTTAACTGGTTTCTATCCCCAACAATGATCAGTATAGTGCCATACACGTGGCCGCTATGGATAAAAGGCTTATTGATATGTTCTAAAGACTAAAAGAGTAGGCAATTATTAATTTGACTTTGGATTTCTAGCATGTTTTAAGTTAGTGAGAATCCTTTCATATTATAGTATTATAGTATGAATTATGTTACTTAGCTGCTACTAGTCTGTTTGATCTCACAGTTGAAGAAATAACTAAGGCCTTAAGAGGATGTGACTCATCTAAGGTCACAGAGCAAGTAAAGCTGTGGCTTACATAAACTTGTTATAAAAAGTCTGTAAAAACAGATTTTAAAATCTTTGCAGTAAAAAAAATTCTGTTCACTTAAACAGTAGTATTTTGTTTTATTTCACTTGTTTACTTAAAAAGCTGGTAAATACCAAAGAGGAATTTCAGTGTTTAACAGGAGCTCTGTGAAGAGTATACCAATTTTTATTTCGTGTCAACTCAAAGCCTTGTAGTCTACTTAACTATTTGGCTTATTCTTCAAAACCAGATTGAAATTGAACATAGCATTGGATTGAGGCCAGTCTTTCAAAATTAACATCCTATTTTAAAACCTGCAGAATTCGAATTAAAAAAAGTCATCCCTTGGGGCGCCTGGCTGGCGCAGTCAGTTAGGTGTCCAACTCTTGGTTTCGGCTCAGGTCATGATCTCAGGGTGGTGGGATCGAGCCCTGCATGACTGCACTCAGCGCTGAGTCTGCTTAAGACTCTTTCTGTCCCCGCTGTGTGCATGCTTGCATGCTCCCACGCATACTCTCTCAAATAAGTAAATCTTAAAAAAAAAAAAAAGGGAGCCTGGGTGCCTTAGTTGGTTAAGCCTCCGACTCTTGATCTTGGCTCAGGTCATGATCTCAGGGTTGTGGGATTGAGACCACCACCCCAGCCCCCGTCTAGCTCTGTGCTCAGTGCAGTCTGCTTGTCCCTCTCCTTCTGAACTACCCCCCTGCCGCTCATGTCTCTTTCTCTCAAAATAATTAATTAATTAAAATCTTAAAAAAAAAGTCATCCCTTAAATATGGTGGTGCTTCCCTAAGTGAAAGGAATTTATTTACCAAATAGAATCCTTTTGTTTGAGGAAAAAACAAAATGAATGAAAATGTGTCTTCTGAAACACAGATTGCTGCAGTTATCAATTAAGGACTGTCAGCAGGAGACACAGACAAATCCCTGAGAGTTGGGGAAAGCAACAAAGCAGTAGCCCTCAAAAGATGAAGTATAATTCAAGATGAACCTCCCCTCTTTCCTAGGACTAGAGAATCAGGGTCTGCCCCCTCCTTTCTCTTCTTACTGCCGTATCCCTTGTTGAGGCTCTCTGAACTTCATGCAGTAATCCCCCATATATCTCCCTGCCTTGATGCTCTACCCCTCCATTTTCTCCCATTGTCAGATGACCTTCATCCATGGATGTTTCAGACAACTCATTTTCTTCAGGAGCTCCTCCTTTGCTTACTCAATAAAGTTGGGGCTCCATGGTATGGCTTTCAAAGCTCTGTACCATCTGGACCTAACACACATTTCCAGCCTTGTCTCCCATTACCTTTCTTTCTGAGCCCCATGCTTCAACCAAATTGGCCTATTTCCTGAGAATGTACTGTGCTTTCCCACTTCATGTTGTCTCCTCCCATTGCCACCTGTTGGGATTTTCCCCAGTCTTTAAGGCCAAGTGTACTTGCTACTTCCTTCATGAGGCCTTTGCTCTTCTTCCCGTGCCAGTTTTCATCTCTCCTACTAACCAGCAAGAGCACTTTAGTACCTTTCTTTTGTCACTTACATTGTAAGTGACAACCATCTATTATGGTTGATTGATGTACTTGAACTCTGTTCCGTCAAGGGCTGTGCACTCAGGGCACCTCCCACAGAGGTGGTTCTGTGGTTCAAATGTATAACAAATTTGAGTGTTTACTGAAAGATTTTACCCACCCGGAGAATTAATATTTTACTTCGTTTAATGTACAGTCTTTTTTTTTCTTAGGAAATATTTTCATTAACTTTTTAAAAAATTATTGAGATAATACTGATGCATAACATGTTAGTTTCAGGTGTATAACATAATGATTTGATATTTCTATATATTGCAGAATGATCACCAAATGTACACTCACCCTTGCTGAATTCCTTCACCATTGTCTGTATCACTGGCTTCCAGTCTTTCAGCATGAGGACCCTTGCCTTTATCGAATCAAGGGGCACCTGAGTGGCTCAGCTGGTTAGGTGTTCAGCTCTTGGTTTCAGCTGAGGTCATGATCTGGGGTCCTGGAATCCAGCCCCGTGTTGGGCTCCCTGCTTAGCAGGGAGTCTGTTTATCTCCCTCTCCCTCTGCCTCTCCCCCAACTCGTGCACAGGCTTGGGCTCCTCTCTCTCCCTGAAATAGATAAATAAATCTTTAAAAAAATAAAAATAATCTAATCAATTACCTTTTACAATGTTTTTGTAATTATACTCATTGAAGTATAATTTACACTTTATAAAATTCACCCGTTGGAAGTGTACGATTCAGTTATTTTTAGCAAATGTATAATAGAGTTGTGCTACCATTACCACAATCCAGTTTCAGAACATTTCCGTAACCTCACCCCGTGCCCAGAAAGGTTCTTCATGTCCTTTTGTAGTTAGTCTCCGCCCCCACCCTCGGCTCCAGGCAAACACTGATCTGCTTTCTGTCTGTATTGATTTACCTTCTCTGGGTATTTCGTATAAATGGAATCAGACAGCATATAGTTTTGTTTTGGTTTTTTTTTTATTTAATAAAGTTTTATTTTCCAAAATGTACAGTTGGTGGGATCTTGTTCATGCATCTTCACCAGCAGCTGGGGCATCTCCACCCTTGGTGTTTCTGGTGTAAATTACTTGAGCTCTGTGCTTTGAAACCGGTTTGATAAGTCCTTTACTAAGGAGCTCCTGAAGGGCTGCCCTGGCCAGGGAACCTCGAATATTCAGTCTCTCAGAGACAACAGCTGGAGTTATAAGCTTATAGTTGGGAACTTCCTCACAGAGTTTGTCATATGTCGCTTTGTCAAACAAGACCAGATTATTGAGCTTGTCCCGAACTTTGCCTTTGGACCACTTCTTCTTTTTGGCCTTGCCCCCAGATTTGTTCACTGGGTCTTTGTCTTTCTTGGCCGACTTTCCGGCATCTTTCTTCTTCTTGTCATCCTTGGGCGGCATAGCGAAGCCGGGAGAGCAGCGTCCACCCCTACAGCCTCGCTAAGATGTTGGACAAAAAAAAAGGCCAGCATATAGTTTTTTTGTGTCTGGTTTCTTTCACTTAGCATAATATTTGTGAGGTTCATTTGTGTTGTAGCACATATTAGTAGTTCCTTTTTATTGCTGAATAGTATTCTGTTGTGTGGCTATACTGCATTTTGTTCACTCACCCATTGATGGACATTTGGATTATTTCTAGTTTTTGACTATTATGAATAGTGCTGCTATGAATATTCATTTATAAGCCTTTGTGTAGATATACGTTTTTGTTTCTCTTGAGTATATAGCTAGGAGTGAAATTGCTGTATGGTATGTCTCCGTGTAACAGTTCAAGAAACTGCCAAACTGTGAGGATGTGGGGAAAAAAGGAACCTTCGTGCACTGTTGGTGGGAATGCAAACTGGTGCAGCCACTGTGGGAAACAGTCTGGAGGTTCCTCAGAAAATTAAAAATAAAACTACCCTGTGATCCAGTGATCGCACTGCTAAGTATTTACCCAAAGAATTTTAAAAAAACCACTAATTCAAAAGAATATATGCACCCCTATGTTTATTTCAGCATTATTTACAATAGCTAAATTATGGAAGTGGCCCAAGTGTCCATCGATAGATGTGATATATATATATTTAAATATATATAAATATAAATATATATATAGGGGGTATTTTTCAGCCATAAGAAAGAATGAAATCTTGCCATTTACAACAACATGGATGGAGCTAGAGGGTTTAATGTTAAGTGAAATAAGTCAGTCATTAAAAGACAAATACCGGGCGCCTGGGTGGCTCAGATGGTTAAGCGTCTGCCTTCGGCTCAGGTCATGATCCCAGGGTCCTGGGATCGAGTCCCGCATCGGGCTCCCTGCTCCTTGGGAGCCTGCTTCTCCCTCTGCCTCTCTCTCTCTCTCTGTCTCTCATGAATAAATAAAATCTTTTTAAAAAAACCATTAAAAAAAGACAAATACCATATGATTTCACTCATATGTGAAATTTAAGAAACAAAAGAAAAAGAGAGAGACAAACCAAGAAACAGACTCTTAATTATAGAGAACAAACCAATGGTTACCAGAGGTGGGGGGGGACAGGTAAAATAAGTGAAGGGGATTAAAGAGTACCTTTATCACGATGAAAACTGAGAAATGTATAGAACTGTTAGATCACTATGTTGTACACCTGAAACTAATATAACAGTATGTTACCTATATTGGAATTAAAAAACTTAATAAAAATGACAAAAAAAAAAAACCTGCCAAACTGGTTTTCAAAAAGCCTTGTACCATTTTACATTCCCACTGACAAGGGAGGGTTCCAGTTTCTCCACAAGAGGACCCTTTCTAAAATTTAAAAAAAATTGGGGCACCTGGGTGGCTCAGTCGTTAAGCATCTGCCTTCGGCTTGGGTCATGATCCCAGGGTCCTGGGATGGAGCCCCTCATCGGGCTCCCTGCTCCGCAGGAGGCCTGCTTCTCCCTCTCCCACTCCCCCTGCTTGTGTTCCCTCTCTTGCTCTCTCTCTCTCTCTCAAATAAATAAAATCTTAAAAAAAAAAAATTGCAAGGGTATCTGGGTGTCTCGGTTAACCATCCAACTTTTTTTTTTTTAAGATTTTATTTGTTTATTTATTTGAGAGAGAGAAAGATCATGAGAGCATGTGAGCAGGGTGAGGGACAAGCAGACTCTGTGCTGTGTGTGGAGCCTGATGTGGGGCTCGATCCCGCAACCCTGAGGTCATGACCCAAGCTCAAATCAAGAGTCAGGTTCTCAACCCACTGAGCCACCCAGTCGCTCCAAATGTCTCACTCTTGATTTCAGCTCAGGTCTTGCTCTCAGGGTGGTGAGTTTGAGCCCTGTGTTGGGCGCTTAAATTTTTTTTTAATTTTTAAATTAAAAAAATTCTTAACTCTCACTTGATAATAGATGTTTTAGTATGTGCAGATTGATAAAAAGTATAAAGATTATATATTACTAAGGATTTAGTAATATTTTTAGAAACATTTACATTCTGTAATCACAATTGCATTTT